CATGGAATGCAATAGTAAAGGGAGGAAACAACAAACAAACAAACAGGAAGCACCCTGCAGGGGTTCTTCAGGCACAGTGCCATCCTATTTGACTAAAACTCTCAAAGGCAGCATTGGCCATTATCCCATTATCGCTCAATGGGTATAAAGTGACAGTTCTACAAAATGAGTAGGTTCTAGGGACCTGCTGGTTAACATGGGCCTATAGTTAGCAATACGGGATTGTGCACGTAGACATTTGCGAAGAGGGTAGATGTCATGTTAAGTGTCCTTCACACATACACACACACACACACACACACACACACACACACACACAGCCAAAACAAAGGGACTTGGAAGCATTGGGAGGTGACGGGTGTGTTTATTGTTGTCATGGGCGTGTGCTGCATATGTCCAAACTCATCACGTTGAATGCATCAACGACGTGTAGCTCTTGGTTTGTTAATTACCCCTCAACAAACCTATAAAAAATAGAGTTCTTTTTAGCTGCAAGAGCAAAAAGAAAGGAAGCAGTGACTTGGACAGTCTCTGCCACGCCTGATTACTTAATAGGGTCACAGCCTTGGCCAACGTGTCATGTAACCCTGGAGGAACAAAGTGGCCCATGAAGCTGAGTGAGCTGGATGGGATTCCGAAATGTAATTGGGACATGATTCATCGGTTTAGTGTAAAATGACACAGATCTTATTTTCCTCACCAGCTGCTCATGCTCCTAACCTGTCTAGTTCCTCCTCTTGTGGACTCCTCACCCTTGAATTATCCAATCACCCCAGGGGGGTTCTTAATCCATTGTGGGGCCCTGTTCCGCTTCCACATGCCAAGGAGCAGAGAGCTGGGGTCTTACTCAGTTGTCTTTTGAGAGCAGCTGTGTCTCATGGCTGTAAGGTGAGGCCTCTGAGGTCTGGCCACACAGTTTTTGGGATGAACCCAGCCCACGGCTGTAGGGACACGCTGCAGGGGTGGTCGGATTTGTGTCCGGGCCTCAGTGGTGCCCCGTGGGGCCCTGATGCTGTCAGACCATGTTGCCATGGTAACTGGGCTAACATGCACTGGAGGCTGTGGGACTGAATAGAGGTCACCAGATCGGACTTAAAAAATTTTTATTTCAGGGGCCTCGATAACCTTTTCCTGCCTTGGCACTTTGGCAGTGATCATCCGCATCCAACTTGGCAGGTCTTTCTATCTGCCATGTTGGGGGCTGTGACAGGACAGTGGGGGAAGTCACAGAAGGATTGGCATCTCACTTTCTGAAAACCCGGTGGCCGGCTTTGCATCCCAGGACAACTTAGGGAGAGGGCTCCCCGCCCTTGGCCTTCCTGCGCCCCACAGACGTAAAAGATCTTACGTTGGCATTCCGCATGCTCCTCGAGGGCGCGACAGTGTCTGTCATGTTGCTGGTGGCTGCCCCCGGTGCCTGGCCAGCCAGCGGCTGGCAGATATGAAGGGTTGAGAAGGGCGTGCCAGGTGGAAGAACGCTGCTCCGCTCTGTCCTTGCCGTTGCTCAAAGATCAGAGTTGATCGGAGGCTCTCTCCACGTCTCCAGGGATGGAATTCCTTTAGTCCCAGAGTCTCCCAGACTTTAAGGCAGCGTCACCCTCCGTGTGTCTCTCCTTGCATATCTGGGAGCTCATTTCCCTCCTGGAGGGGCTGGCTTTAGAGGAGGTGCCTCTGTGAGGGCAGGCTCTGGGCTCACTTGGGGGTAAACCCACCTTGGAGGGTTGCCCTCGCCTCCCTACCTTAAGCTCTAGCTGTGCCCCTCCCACTTCTTGGCGTGGTCACCATGTGTACTTTTTCGAGGTACCTTTTAATTTTGATATAATTTCAATTTGACGTAATTTAGTTTGATGGAATTCCAAACTTACAGACAAGTTGTAAGTGTGATACAAGAAACCCCCGTGTACCGTTTATTCAGATGTCTCAGCTTGATCCATTATCTCTTTACATTATGAAAATCTGAAGTTATTTTGACACGCTTTTCAGGATATTTACATGAGCACATTCAGTTCAGTTTTCTTGAAGGTGGAGGTCTGTCTTCTACTTTCGAGTACACATTTGTTTCTAGTTGCAGTTAGAAAGAAACAGAATGAATTCATGTTTTCACTAGTTAAATTCTTTTTTCTAATGTGTTCAGTTTCCCACTGTTGTCATGGCCTTTCCACTAACTTTATCCAGGGAGTTGTGAGAGTGAGTGTGTATCAATTTGGCTCAACATTTATTTGAAAAGTTTATTTCTTGTGTGGTACACTATTTCTATAATATTTGTACATAGTACCTTTAGATGCAGCAGTATTTTTTTAAAATAGAGTAATAGTACTAGAGCAATGTTTTAGAGGAAGTTA